GTCTTGGCCCTGGACCTTTTGAAACAATGGTCAGTGTGGTTTTGCGTCAGAGGGCATGGGAGGGACAGTGCTCACTGGCTTTCCTGGTACATTTGACCTTAGCGGACATGCAGCTCTGGAGGTGGGTTATTTGGCATTTGTTCCCCTCCCTCCCGCCCCCTCTTTCTTCCTTTTTTTTTTTTTTTTTTTAACCAATGGATGAGATAAGATGTTATAGGATATTCTGTCCTCTTGTTCCTATCAGGGAAGAATTTTTCTCATCTCTCTTTTGGCCTGGTTACTAGGGTGTCAAACAGCCAGAGAATTTAATCTATAACAGGTTTAAGTATAATCCTATTAAATGGTCTTCTGTGTCCTTTGAAATTTCGATTAGCCAGGGCACTGCCAATGTTGAAAGCCATAGAGTCTTGCATGGAAGGAATTATGCTCCTAGCTACAGTTGGCCTGTAGAATCATGTGTTTTGTTTTGTTTTGTTTCTTTGAGCCTTATTCCAGGATCATTTCTCTTTACCCTCCAGTGTTCCTGTTAGAGTTTTTAAAACTCTGAAAAGTGAAGACTTTGTAAGTAACTAGGAGAGTAATTCCATTAGTTCTGTATCAGGCTAAAAAGGCAATCTTCTCCTTGGTTTTCTATGTAGTAAATACTTCATAATCAGGGACCTTGTCGTCCTTGTTGACAACTGATTCCCTCCCTCCTAGAATAGCAGCTGGCACTCTGCAAGCATTTAATACATATTTGCTGAATGAATGGATGAATGAATGACACTTATTTGGCTAGACTTGAGGCAATAACTATAGTGGGCTAAAGATGGTTGCTGATTCTCTTTATTATAATCATGTGTAAACAGGACAAGCTAACATAAATGTTTTACAAACTATTACAGTGTTAAAATGAGATTTCACTATCTAGGCAAATAGGCCCATCACTGTGGAAATACCAAACTACATGATAAAGACCAGTAATCCATACATGAAATCATCTTCATGGTTCTTCTAAGTAGAGTGAATGAGCTTTGGGTTGTCACATTGCTATGCTATTAATTCAAAGGGAGGTACCCAGAATCCTTCTTTTTCTTCAGTTAAGGATCACTGTCATGTCTGTTCCATTCTCTTCAGACCCTCAGTGTTTCATAGTAAACCTTTTCACTGAATTCAAAGTCAAATGATCAAGAATTGAGTAGCATTTGAGTCTTTGCTGGCTAACACAGTTCTCCACAACTGCAAAGAGGCTTCAGAAAAAGATGGAAATAAGAACTTGTCTACCAAGGCCATTTTGACGGCAAGGTGACATGCCTTTCCATGTTTTAGTATAATTTTCCCTCCTTTTAATCTTCCTCTCCTCCTTTTACTTGTTCCCATTTTTATCTCCTCAGATTTTCTTTCTTTGACATTTTCTCATCTTTATTTCTTTCTTTTTAAAACATTTATTTCTAAAAATAATTTGTATTAGTTCTATTTGAGTAATTCTTCAGTTAGTGGTATTTGTCTATTTTTTCTACCTACATAGACCTCAAAATATTATTGCCCTTCCTGAATATATGTTTAAAGAAATTTTTTTGCCTAAAAAACTTTTACTAAATTTCACTTAAGTAACATTGATTACTTCCTCCTGTTCCTTCAAAAGATCATCAAACACATATAATTGCCTACCAGACTTTCTGATTGACATAACATAATCAATATCAATGTTGGTATTGTAGCTAAGTAAAGGCACTTGAAAGCTATTCTTTTACTAACCCACAAAATTACAATTATCTTACATTAGACAAAGGCACCAAAAACATACATTGGAGAAAAGATAGCCTTTTCAACAAATAGTGCTGGAAAAACTGGAAATCCATATGCAACAAAATAAAATTAAACCCCTATCTCCTACCATGCACAAAACTCAACTCAAAGTGGATCAAGGACATAGGAATTAAACCAGAAACCCTGCATCTAATAGAAGAAAAAGTAGGCCCTAATCTCCATCATGTCAGATTAGGCCCCAGCTTCCTTAATAAGACTCCTATGGCATAGAATTAAAATTAAGAATCAATAAATGGGGGGCTGGGATTGTGGCTCAGCAATAGAGCGCTCACCAAGCATGGGCAGGGCCAGGGTTCAATCCTCAGTACCACATAAAAATAAAGGTGTTGTGTTGTGTCCATCTACACCTAAAAAATAAATATTAAAAAAAGAATCAATAAATGGGATGAATTCAAACTAAAAAGTTTTTTCTCAGCAAAAGAAACAATCATGAGGTAAATAGAGAGCCTACATCTTGGTAGAAAATTTTTACCCCTCACACATCTAGGGTATATAAAGAACTCAAAAAGTTAAACACCAAAAAACCAAACAACCCAATAAATAAATGGGCCAAGGACCTGAAGAGACACTTGTCAGAAGATGATATACAATCAATTAACAAATATATGAAAAAATGTTCAACATCTCTAGCAATTAGAGAAATGCTAGACTACTCTAAGATTTCATCTCACTCCAGTCAGAATGGCAGCTATTAAGAATACAAATAATATGTATTGGTGAGGATTGGGGGAAAATGCACACTCATACATTGCTGATGGGACTGCAAATTGGTGCAGCCAGTCTGGAAAGCAGTATGGAGATTCCTTGGAAAACTGGAAATAGAACCACCATTTGAACCAGCTATTCCACTTCTCACTCTATACTCAAGGACTTAAAAACAGCATACTACAGAGACACAGCCATATCAATGTTTATAGCAGCACAATTCACAATAGCTAAACTGTGGAGCCAACCTAGATGCCCTTCAGTAGATGAATGGATAAAAAAAATGTGGTGTATATGCACACAATGGAATATTACTCAGCAATAAAAGAATAAAATCATGGAATTTGCAGGTAATTAGATGGAGTTGGAAAAGATAATACTAAGTGAAGAAAGCCAGTCCCCCAAAACCAAATGCTAAATGTTTTCTCTGATATAAGGAGGCTGATTCATAGTGGGGTAGGGAGAGGGAACATGGGAGGATTAGATGAACTCTAGATAGGGCAAAGGGGACGGAGGAGAAGGGGGGAGCATGGGGACAGAATTAATGGTGGCATGAGATGGACATCATTATCCAAAGTACATGTATGAAGACATGAATGGTATGAATATACTTTGTATACAACCAGAGATATGAGAAAGTGTGCTCTATATGTGTAATATGAATTGTAATGCATTCTGCTATCATATGTAATAAATTAGAATAAAAAATTTTCTTAAAAAAATACACTGACCCCCCCCCCCGAAATAAAAAGAAAGAAAGGAAGTTGATCTTTTAGGTAACTTAGGAAGTTCAATCTAGAGGACCCTGATGACAAGTACTCAGGTTGTGACAAACACTTTCTGGTTAGATTTACCTTTACCCCACATAAAACGAACAGAAGAAAAGAGTGTCATGACTTAAAAAAAAAACAAGATGATCATGACTTAGTCATTAAAAGTCACAACTTAGTAATTTAAAAAATCATAAAACGTAGATTTACATTATTATACTGAACTCATATAGTATAATGAATTCATTTTATTGCAAATCTGATGCTACCGAGTGACTTTATATAGTCTGATAACCACAAGGAGATGATGACTTTTCCTTCAGGGAACCAAAATCAAAATCAACAACAACAACAAAAAAAACTGCACTTATTCTATAGAAAACCTATTAGGAACTTTTAGAAACTTGTAGACACTGATTTAAGAGAAGATCTGAGAATTATGAATTGTTGTCTTTCCTTTGGATGTATGATAATGTTTGTAATTACTTCATGATCGTTGGAGAGCTTTTCTGCATTCAGTTGCTAAGCCTAGAATCTATTTCTGGGTAATTAAAAGCATTGTTTTTCCCATTTTGCTGGCTTCATCACTGAAAAGCTAAGTGACTTTATAGACACCTTACATTTTCCATCAAATTTAGCATATTAATAGGTGAAGTATTCTCACCTATCTTGCACAAACATGGAGGGAAATTTAGTGCATAAAGTATTCCAAATAGTACTATGTTAATTAAATAGGTTTGCTATTCTGGTTTATTTGAGTCCAAAGGCAGTAGGAGTTGAATCTATGGATATAATCCAACAAATTCTATTAGTACAGGTATTAGTTTGACTTTTAAGTATTGTGAGAAAGAGGCCACAATCACTCTCAGTAATGAGGCTTCATGATAAGAATACAAAGGAATATGATATTTTTAACTAACCAGATTCTCTTTGTTTCAGACCTTCCAAAATGAAAAATAGACAAGATAAAAGATAGAACCTTAGCTTCTTGCAGAACACAGCCTGGCTACATGACCTACCTTCGCTTTCATCATTGCATCTGTGCTCCCCCAGAGAAAAGATTCATCAGAAATGCTCCACCCCTGTCCTAAGTAGATCTGTCTTTTGGGCAAACTTTCAGGTCCAGCTGTTTCTGAGATGCTGCCTTCTCTTAGTAGAGCCGGCGAGTGTGTGCTTTTGTCAATCCTTGTTTGTGTTTTTGTTGCCAGAATGGCAGAGAAGGTTTCACTCAACATCTATGACACTAGATATGTAGGCTTAATACAGGAAAATGTCTCCCAATTCTGTTTTTCTCCCCCAGCAAGAAAGAATGACACCAGATGATCACTTAGAAACTTCACGGCTTATTCAATATATGTGTGGGCTGAAAAATAAGGCTGCCTAATTCTCTAAATTATCTAGATGAATCAGGCAAAGTTGTTGGTATTTAACCTTCAAAACAGAGATAATTATAGCTTAATAGACTGCCTCAGAAAGACAAAAGTCTTGGATTTTATTTTCAAAATGATTATTAATAGACTTATCTGTGATGTCTGAATAATAAATGCAGATTAAAATAAGGCTCACTTAGTAAAGACTAATACAACAAATAAAGATATACTTTCCTTTCCAGTTTCCCTCAATTACCTTATCTGTTAAATGGAAATAATAATAATAGTGGCTTCCTCATAGGGTTATTGTGAGGATTACATGAGTCAGTACAAATAAAATATTTGGAACAGTCCCCAGCACACTCAAAGCACTTGATACTGTTGTATATTATGTTGTTATTAATAATTGCAAATACAAAATGAACAACATTGTAAAATGACAGAAAGATAAAGATTTCTGAAGAAAGTCTATACTCTAAATCTTCTAGATGATGTATTGGAAGGGCAGAGTTTTTTAAAAACAGAGACTGGAAATCATACTAAAATTTTCCTGAACCAACTATGAAGTCCATGGACCAGCAGCTTCAGCATCACCTGGGAACTAACAAGGAATGCAGCACCCCAGGCCTCAGCCCAAAGGACCTCTACTTTAACAGGATGCCCAAGGGATTTGTGCGTTTTAAATGCACTGTTTTAAATTTCATTTAGGAACCAGTGTTTTCAGCAGGTCTTTGTGTTTAAGCTGTACTATGAAATGGTAAAGTGAGATGTTTAATTTTCTTTTATATCTCCTATAAAACATCAGCCTTGAAATATTCATTTCTCTTGACTATCTAGGGCACATTTTGGAGAGGAGGCAACACAGAAACAGATCATGAAGAGCAGATGCAAGCACCTAGGTCTGCTTCACAATGTCTTCCTCCATCTGTTGATCAAGGTGTACATCTGCTCCCACAGTCACCCAGTCACCTATCTCTGCCTCACTTGCTTTATTCCCTAAACGGAGATGTGTTTCTGAGCTCAAAGGTCAGCTTTCTTATGTCTTTGAAGGATGTTTGGGAAAGAAACAAAGATGTTGCTCTTTGCCTTTGAGTCACCCCCTTACCTACCATTTCCACAGGGCACAGACCTCTCACAATGCCAGCCTCACCTCACTGCCAGATGGAAGAGGGCTGCAGCCAACAGACATCTGCATATCGGGTGCCTCTTTGGAGGGCTGTGAATGAGAGACATCGCTACTGTGCTGGTTCCTGTTGGTGAAGTAACTATTGTGTTCGAGGGAGCCTCATGCAACCCAAATATACACCACATAAACACAGATACATACACATCACATGCCTACACACACTACATACACTGCACACACAATGTGATACATATGTACCATATATACTCCACATATACACATGTACTGCACACATACAATAGCACACCACACCACATCTACCTTACATATAATATATACGTACCATGCACACACACACACACATACACACACACACACACACACACACACACACACACACACACAAAACTCTCTCCCTAAAACAAACATTGATTCTCAGAGAGAGCACAGTGTTAATCAGTAGTCTTCAAACTGACATCTACAAACACATTTTTCCTCTCCAAGAAAACATTTTTCCCTTTAAAAACAAAAAATGGTTTACGCTTAGAAACACTAGTTTAAATCCATAAGAAGGAGTAAAACCCTTGCCCTAATTGCCCCATAATTTTTCAAACCTGCCTGTGTCACAGAAGCACTATTTTATATGATTACATTATAGCCTCATCCCCTACACTGCCTTATCTCATAATCCATCTCCTAATGACTGCTCCCTGGCCACCCTGAAGCCCTGTAAGAGGCTGCTTAATCTCCTGGACTCAGAGCCAAACTCCTTTCTTCTCCCTCCGATCCTGCCTAACAGGAGGGGTAAGGACAATCTTTTTCATCCTGTCACCTGTCTGTACACAGAGAAGCAGCCCAGATTGGAGTGTAGATTGCCTGCCTGGGGGCTTCCAACTGTCCTGGTGGATCAGAGTTTCCTCTCTCTATAGCCCCTAGTGTTATGTTGGCCCCTTTGTCTGGGGTTGCACTTGACTGAGATATTGGTGGTTTCCCTCAGAGTGGAATGGAGGGAAGCCTTTTCCAACCACGGAATCTAGTTTGGGATGTTCATACACATTTTTCCAAATTATAAGAGCAAATCATCTACTTAGAAGAGCATGGTGGAGATATAGGATTGAAATCCTGGAGACCTAACAATGTGCATTTCTCAGCCTCAAGTACCTTAATTATAAAAAGAGTTAAGGCCCTCACAATGCTGAAAAACAGCCTGTTGTTCTTAAATATATAGTGCATGGTTTATTTTATGATTTTTCATACTATATATTTTTGTGAATTTATACACTACCTTGTCTCAAAAAGGATGTTAGGGGCATTAGAGGGAAACAAACAAACAAAAAATAGCAAGGTAGCATAAATTAGAAATATGTGAAGAACAAAAAGGGAAAACAAAGAGAGAGACATGAGATGGAGCCAGCCTGTGGTTGCAACATTTATCCTTGAAGTCTTGCCTTTTTGGTCCACAAAATGTTGTTTTTGTACCCAGAGAAGGCATAGGAAAGGAAGGCTGCCTCTCCCTGTGTGCAAGGCTGTCAGTAGCAAGCGGGAACACTGTGTGCCCCTAAGGATCACGGACTTGTCACAAATTTAATCAAGTGCTTTGTATAAATCAAGGACAACTTAAGTTATTGGAGTTTTGTTGTTGCTTAAAGATGCATAGATATAATTGTTCCATACATTTCTTTTTAAATTAAAAGTGGGCACACTATGCATAAAATATAAAAATATTCAATAAATCAGAGCAAGTAGGAGTTAATTTATTCCAGTTCCATACTGTAGTCAGTTAAAGGGACAGAATTCAGGTGTGTGAGACCCATAGAGGGCTGGAACACATCCTCACAAAGAGAAATGGCACACAACAACTGATCTGTGGAGCTAGGAGGCTTGAGGTTTTGGCTTCAAAATGAATGAATGAACTGGTCTGATTTTAAACAAGTCTACTTGATTTTGAATTCTAATTTTAAAAAGAGGGCAAACAAGAGGTATCGGAAGAATCTTTCCATACTTGAAGCCATTCCAATGTCTCAGTTGTCCACTGATAATGTTAGCAGTGGGTGGGAAGGGCTCTTAGTCAAAGAACTAAAACCACACACATCTTTACATTGGAACTAGGTAAGGGCTTTGTTATCTCAGTAGCCTCATCTTTTGACAGCATCTAGGTCCCTAGATATTCTCCAAAACATGTATTCACACACACACACACACACACACACACACACACACATACACATATGCACACACATTTATGCTCATATGACATGCTCATGCAATACACATAATCACATTCACATACACATTCACACACATATGCATTCACACACACTCACACATACGTGTATACCCATGCATCACATCTTGCTTGGGCTTTTGGAGATTGAAGAAGACTTATCTCTCTCCTGGTCCCCAGAACAAGCAGAACTCCCATTTGCAAAATTCTCCCCTTCCCCCTCCCCACTTCCCTCACTTGCCCAATGAGCCCTATTCGTCCCTTAGGATCAACTTTAAATGTCACTTTCTCCCAAAAGCTTTCTCTTCAAATCCCAGACTGAAATATCTCTTAAACAACAGCTTCCACAACTTTGCTCAAAGAAGTACACAAGAGATGCATTTCCCTAATATCCAACAAGAAAAGACTTAGAAAGTTGAGTGTCACAGAGAAGGTCTGCCAGGGCGCTCCAACACACCTTCCACAGCCTGACAAGAGCCACATATGCGAGAGACCAGCACCGAGAAATCAGCAGAGATTAGAAAACTCCGATGGACGGCAACAGATGGGGTATTTATTTATTTCAAATACTTTTTTTTGCTGGGAGAGGCACATGAGATGTATATCTTATTTCCAGAGAAGTCTCAAGGGAGACAGCTGTCATGCGGTTTCATTCCAGAACTCTTTAGTATGGTACAAACAATATAATGGAGGACAGACAGCCTAAATAGCAGACCCCAACAATACAGAGCCACCTCAATTGCAGTTCATTTTACCCTGTAACTTCTTCTTAACACGAAGTGAAACGTTCCCTACAATAAAACAGTGCAGTGACCTTTGGGTATTAAATCTGGTTTCATGCTTCAAGACTGTGATCAAAATATTCCCGTGCTATTTTTTTCTTTCCAAATGGAACAAAGTGCTTTCAGAAAATTTACTGAATCCTTGAAAACCTAATGATCCCTTTATAGCCTCAGGTAAGTTACTGCAAAATTTAATTTCTGCTAACCTACCTGAGATTACAAACAGCAAAATAAATTCGTGGGACTTTCCTGCTGGCTGCATTTCAGCTTTCCTCTCTGACTGACCCTTCAGAGTGTTCCATACTCTTGCAAATCACTCAAGGATGCTCAGTGTCTTGAATTGCCCTCAGGCACCTGTGACATTGACTTTTGTCCCTTCTGGGTCATGGGTGGAGAGAGTTATGGTTCATCCTTTACAAGCCATTCACCTTATTAAAAAAGTTCATTCTACAACCATTTTTTATTAGCCAGAATGAAAAATCGAATGATAATTTTATCATTAGAAATAAATAAAATTACCAGGAATAGTATGTAATATTTTTAAAATGTTTTGTCTCTACATTTAATTGTTCATTACATCCTTATGATTGAAAATGTTTTCTTGTTGTTGTTAGTTTGTTTTTCTATCCAAAGTCTACTCATTCCCCCCATTTTTTACAGCAGCACCCTGATGTTCTTTTACTGTATTTCTTCTCCCCACTTTGTGGGAACATCAGTTAAGGCACGCTGCCCTCCTTTAGCTAAAAGGCAGACTCATGAGTCAGGCTGGGCTAATGTTGTGTTAACTGACAGGAAAGCAAAATAGTTGACATGGACCTATCCCAGTTCTGGGATCCTAACGAGTTAGGCTATAATTAGAGCTACAAATTAGTTATTGCAATATATCTTATTTTTCAGCAGTACCATGATTACTGTCTTCTTCCCAGCCTGCTTTTCTGTTGTCCTCTAAATTCTCTTCGGTATACGTACCTTTCCAATATTCTTTTTTTCCTATTTAATAAACCAGAATAGATTTCTGGTTCTTAGAACTAAAGAATCCTTATTATAAAAGAATTTCTATAACCAGATGTGATTTGGAAGAAAAGGTAGAGAAGATTACAAAAAGACAGGAAACAATAATAGCCCATTGTGTTAGTGAGGAAAAATGGAAGGATAAGTAGCTATAACTATGGCCAAACTTATGCCATAGTTTTGATGTCCTCTCCCTGGATCATGGACTTGATCCAGGGAGAGGACATCATTGCAGCCACCAAAATTCACTGAGTGTAGCAGCAGGCACCAGACTCTGGGTGTTACTGAGGCCATCATGGCCTCTGTTCTTTGGATAGTAAACATACTTACTGTTCCCTAACAAAACAATTCTCCAACAAAGTGAAAGGTCCAGTGGGCACATATAGTTGACTGTGGTCCCTTGTTCACATCCCAGGTGTGTAGAGGTGGGAAAGTGAGTATCTGCCATTTCAACTGCTATCACGGACACCTGAGTGTGGTGATATGGAATTTTGCAAGTGACAAGACAGGTGATAAAGATGGACAACTAGACCAATAGAATAGAGTGAAGACCCCAGAAATAGACCCAGACATAAAAGGATTATTGTGTGTAAATAAAGAAAGAGTTTTGTTTTTCTACCCTTTTCTGCCTTTTTCAACAAAGGTAGAGAAAGGATGGTCTTTTATACAAGGTACTTGAACAACTGAGTATTCATGTGCAAAAATACTAACACTGACATAACACTAGCACCATATACAAAACTTACCTAAAAACCAATTACAGATATGAAACCTAAAATTCTAAAACTTTTAACAGAAAACACAAGATAAATCTTTTCGTGTTTGATAAAGCAAAGATTTCTTCAATATAAGAAGTTAGAGCTTTTTGTGAGGATTAAATAAAGTCATACAAGGAAAGCTCTTAAACACCCAGGAGATACTCTGCAATCTCTTATTGTTCATTTTATATATTACTTTGGGGTTTATGAGTTCTTGTTAATTTTAAATTTATTAGGACCATGGGTCATGATAAACCAGAAAAGGTTATATAATCTAGGAGATGGGAAACAAACAAACAAACAAACAAAAACCTGTTGACCAGAAAGTGTGGTGGGGAGGGATTATTAGCCACATTTTTATAGAACCAGAAACTGAAGTTAGTTATCCAAGGTCACTATATTAGATAAAAGTGAATTTGATGTCAAATATTTCATAGTAAGCTAACAGAAACTTCTAAAAATATGGTTTTTTTTTCTCTTATAGAAAAATGTCATGGTGGGGACATTGCTGATGTTGGCTTAGTGGCTCCACTATCAGGTCAGGTTCCAAGTCAGGGCTCAAGGTACCTAGCTGTGTAATTGTCTTGACCTTCCCTTTAGGGGTGAAAGAAAGCCTTAGGGTCTTGGTCGTCTGTAGGGGCAGAAGAAGGCCTCAGAGCTTTTAGAGGAGGTACAGGCCAAAGACCTCACATGTCCTCTTATCAGCGAGGAGGCATCTCTTCTGGAACCCATGCAGGCTTCCTCTTATATCTCACTATTCAGAGCTGGGTTATAATTTCCGCCCCTGGGTTGCTTGTAGCCTCTGCCTTTCCTGAGCTGGAAGACTCTCTGCTACATATTTGAACAAAATTGAGATTTTGTTAGCAGAGAAAATGGAGGACTGACTTCAATACCAACATGTGCCACAGTTATGCAGACCAACATGGAGATTCCTGGATTCAAGTTGAGTTTTATTACCTCAATCCCAGTTCACTTGCCACTGCATTAATGCCACCTAGCATGGTGGCATTGTGCTAACATCAGGACCCAAGGATGATAGCCACATTTTCTTGCCTCAAGAATGTATATAGTTTACCAAGAAGACAGAACACACTTAACAAGAACAAATAAATAAATTGGTATTTTAAATCTAGCACAATGAAGGCACACACTCACATGCAGAGTATTAGCTTTGGGTGCATGGAGGAAGTCTGACTGGAGCAGGTGAGTCTCCCAAAGGAAGTGACATTGTGAGTAGATGTTTTCCAGGTAGAACTGACCAACACTGGGTAAGGGAATGCAGAGAGCAGTATGCTCAAAGGCAAAGAGGAGCAAACTTCACCAATTGGAGTTTAAAATGAAATAAATATGTGATAGGACTACCAAAAGCCAAGGGTACACAGGGAGGCTGCATGTTTTGTACAGGTGATGGGAAATCAGAAAATCCTATTTGATCAAGGAATGTCAAGATGGTTGGAAGGATCACAGTAAGATTTACACTTAAAAAATGATTTTCCTTCTGCCTTTATATGAAGTGGCCTGGATGATAGCTGAGGTGGCCCCATACTTTAAAATTTAGAGAAGTTTAGATTCCATGTCAGGATGTCCATGTCTTATGGGGAAGTCTGATGCACACCAAGATTCTGGCAAGTTTTGAGGATCCATGTTAGATAGCTCTACCCTACTGAGCATCTTAAAAGAACAGAAATATATTGTCTCAGTTCTACAAGCCAGAAGTCTGAAATCAAGATGTCAGCAGGACCATACTTCTGAGGGCTCCAGGGAAGAATTCTTCCTTGCCTTTCTAGTTTCTGGTAGAGTTAGGCACTCTTGGTTTGTAATGACATAACTGATTTCTATCTTCATCTTTACATGGTCTTCAATTCTCTGTGTCTTCTCTTCTTCTTATAAGGATACCAATCATTGAATTTAGTGACTACCCTAAATCCAGGATTATTGCATCTTGAGATCATTAATTGTATCTACAAATATCCTTTTTCCAAATAATGTCACATTCTGAGGCACTTGACAAACATATATCTGGGGAACACTGCTCAATTCACCATAGGAACTCACAGTCTCTGTTTCTGTTCATCTTAAAAATCTTAATCTTATATCTCATTTTCTTTGGATATACTATCTTCTTTTCTACAAACCAGCTCAGGTGTAAAATTAGTCCCTTTCCTTCATGTGCCCTAAATGCATTCAGCCAAGGTATTCATGAACACAAATTACTTTATTGAAGTTTGAAACAATGACAAGGGTCAACAACGCATACCTAAACTTACAATAACAGGAATTTGTGTTCTTAAATGTCATGTGGTTAACCTGCTCTAGAAATTAACCATTCACAAGCTTTCATCAAAACCCAGAACTCCACTCAATGCCTGTCCCCTACTTCCTTCTACCTACCCTGCTATGATTCCCTCTCTGAACTCCTCCTTTCTGCCAGTCCTTCTGATTCTGATTAATTTCTTACAAGGTTTATTTAAATGGTTTATTTCACTATCCTTTAACATTCTGCCCTCAAGAAGTAATCTTCGATGTGTATCAAAGAGTTGCTAAACCAAAATAGTTCACTCTAAAAGGAGCTGAGAGCAATCTATCAAAATATTAACCATTTTACTCTTCTACAATTCAAAGAATGATAAACGACACAAAATTCAAAAACTTCAGTGCATGGATTTAAAAATGTACTCTTTGAAGTGGTTGAATATTTTTACTTCAAATAAGTTCCACTATAATGCACATGGGAGACTCATTTAAGCAGTTACTTAATGAACTAAGGCTCTGATTGAGACAGATGTGTTTATTTCTGCCTCACTAATAAAAAACAAGCAGAAAATTTATAACTGTATATATGGAATACTTATGATGCATATATGTATATAATCAGTATGAATATGTGTAATAAGTGTGTACTACTTGTATAATGCATATTATATATATGCACTATATATATCTTGTATATCAGTGTTACTATACATAAGTATTTATGTACAGAATTAGCATGTAAGCATACTGTTAATAAGTAAGTCCTTTGCCAAGTGATATACATTGAGTACCTAATTTAATACAATTAGGAAGTAGCTATTGTTATTTCTTTCATTTTACAGGTAAGAAATTGAGACTTAGAAATGTGCAGTGCCTTGCCCAAGGGTAGATGACTTAAAAAATGATAGAGCCTGTCTCTGGCAGTTCCTTGCTCTCAATCAATAATTATCTACATATAAGGACATATACTAAAATGTTAAGCAGTGGATATAACTGGGGAAAGGGGCAGGATAATGGTTGATAAAATATACTTTTTGAGATTTAAGTTTTTTACAATGGTCACATTTCACATCTATAATAAAAAGCCTGTCCATCTTACCTACCAATTAATATTATAAATAGACAATCACGTCAGTTTCATAACTGGCTGAAAACAGTGCAGTTATTAAAAAATCAACATTAAACTAGAATAATATGACTGCCTAATATCTTGTATAGCATTTTATAAATACAAACCATGGTCACGTGGTGTCATTTAATCCTTGTGATAGATAACTTTGTGCGTCAGAAATGGTTAATATGGTGTATTATCATCCTTTCCCATTTTTTTTTGAAATTAAGATCAAAGAATAAATGGACTCTCCACTCTCATAAAGTCATAAAAAAAAAAACTAGCTGTTCCTCAAACTCCTTGTGGATTGAGGACACAT